ACAACCACAACCACAACCACAACCACAACCACAACCACAACCACGACCACGACCACAACCACAACCACAACAACAACAGCAGCAGCAGCAGCAGCAGCAACAACGACAACAACAACAACAAACAACGACACCAACCCCAACACCAACACCAACATGAACAACAACGGCGATGAGGACGGCAACAATGACAACAGCATCGTCAACAACAGTTGCAACAAAAACGCTCACAGCTACAACAACGAAGACAACAACAACAACGCTCGCCCTGCAGCGAGCACCGAAAGCCAAGGAGGGTTGAAGTTAAATTAAAAGCCCAAACCCTCCCCAACAACAAAGCTGCGCTCCGATTTGCTTGTTGTTGTTGTTGTTGTTGTTGTTGTTGCGGCTGCTGCTGTTGTTGTTGTCGTTGTTGTTGTGGTTGTGGTCGTGGTCGTGGTCGTGGTTGTGGTTGTGGTTGTGGTTGTGGTTGTGGTTGTTGTTGTTGTTGTTGTTGTTGTTGTTGTTGTTGTTGTTGTTGTTGTTGTTGTTGTTGTTGTTGTTGTTGTTGTTTTTGTTGTAGTTGTTGTTGTTGTTGTTGTTGTTGTTGTTGTTGTTGTTGTTGTTGTTGTTGTTGTTGTTGTTGTCGTTGTCGTTGTCGTTGTTGTTGGAGGTGGCGGTGGCTGTGGTTGTGAGTGTGGTGGTGGTGTTGCTGTTGTTGCTGCTGTTGTTGTCATTGTTGTTGCTGCTGTTGTCAATTGCTGTTTGTCATGTCATTTGTGTCTCATTGCGGTGCTTTGTTGCGGTTGTGGCGCGCTTTGCGGTCGGCAGCTGGGTGGCTAGCCAGCCCCTGCCAAGCAACAGAATCAGAACAGGTCATGGGTTTTGATTTATAGCTTTAATGCCACACCTAGCTGTGCGCAATAGGTTACGTCGTTGTTGTTGTTGTTGTTGCTGCTGCTGTTGTCATGATTTGTTGTTTTCGTGGCCGCTTTCCCGCCCTTGCATGTGTTGCAGTGCGTTGCCTTGTCTGTCATTGCTATGTTGTTCTTTGCCTTGCTGATGACATTCTTATCGCCCTGCCAGCCCCAGCCCTCCCCAGCCCACAACAAAGGCTGCTAGCAGCCCCTGCGAAGCAACAACATTGGTTTTGTCATGGCTGGAAATTGTAACGCCTTGCTTCTGTACGATAGACTCCTCAGAGTCAAGACCAGAAGACAGAAACAAACCCGAGAAAAACTAAGTTGATCACAGCTTCATGGCGGTCTGCCCAAGGATTTCGATGTCGTGGATCGCGGCTACCATAGGCTTGATGGGCATAAGACCTTTGGCAGACCACTTCACGGCCCAGATCACTTCACAGTGGCGCTCCGGCAAGCACACCTTGGGCACCAAGCCAGCCAGCCCAGAGGTGCCCTTGAGCTCAACGTTCGCCGGATCCTCGCCATTTGCCTCGTGCTGCCCTGGGACCTTTGGCGTGCACTTGAAGTACACCTCGTGTTTGCGGTGCAAGTTGAAACTCTGTTCGTCCACAGCCTTCTTCTCATGATAGCAGAGCTCTGCTGCAGTTCTGGAGGCCTGGGCACTGTGGATCAGCTCGCCAACCGAAGTGAGCCGACTGTTGAAAAGCACCAGGTCAGACGAACTCTTGAGGTCAAAGAGAACAAGCTTCTCAGAGTCAGGAACTGGACCAGGAGAGCCTCCAGGGGCACGTGGGATGTTCTTGAAGGTCCCAAAGCCAAAGCCAGCAATCACAGTCCCAGCTGCAATAGTGCCAGCAGAGGAGTTGATCAACCACCACGCCTGGTCCTGGCCAACCCGCACGGCAAGCTTCCCAGAAAGGTCTTTCTTGACATTGCCCACCACAGCCTCGGCCAGCTTTGCCTGGGGAAGCTGGCTGACTGCCACAGTCTGTGCAGGAGCTACCTCGCGCTTGGCAGGGGACGCAGGCCCAGAAGGGCCAGGAACAGCAACGCCAGGCTTTTCTGGCTGGGCTCGCCAAACTCATCCACGATCTTCTTGAGAATGTCCTGAAAAGTGCTTCCAAATTCCGGGTGCTCAGCCCATTGCTTCACGATGGGCTCTGGGACAACCAGAGTTCCCCCATGCAAGTTGCAAACGTTGAGCTGGGGCGGAGGAGGCGCAGCCATGAGCATCTCTGCAGGCGGCTCATTTGGGCGAGCCTGAAAGCCAGGCAGAGGGGACTCCCCTGCAAGCAGCTTGGCCGTGAGCTCCTCCTGCATGGTGTGTTGAAGCCACTCTGCCTCAACACTGCTGGGCGTAGCCCCCAAGTAGGCTACCGGACACTGCATGGCTTTCATTCTGGAGAGGTAAGCCCAGAAGAAGTCGCCAACACCGACGTTCAAGTCCAGAATGAGGAAGCCACGGGTGTCCCCAGAAAGCTTGTCAGACTCAAGCAAGGACTCCAGGACCTTCGTCGCCGCATCCTCACCGACTTGCTCGTAGCGCTTGCCGCCGCGAACAGAGTTCTTGTCCTCGGTGTGGGTGGGCAGGGCTGACTCCGTCAAGTCTTCAACAACTTTCAGCTTCATGCCTGGCACTTGGTCAGCTTCTGAAGTCCGCAGCGTTGTGAGCAGTTGGCAGTTCTGCCAGCACTTGCTGATGACATTCTTTTTTTGGCGCTTTGCCTTGCGAGCAATGTCTTCCTCGCTGTCGGACTCGGCCCAGTTGCCGCAAGGCCGGCAAATTCGCAACGGGTAAACCAGGGGGCGCTCGTCCCGGGAGTCTTGCCGGCTGCGGAAGAGCAGGCTAGCCTGCATGTCCACGTCAACATTGCGACAGGTCAGGCTCTTCAGCATCAAGTGTTCCAACAAGTGTACCTGATGCTTCTTGTAGTGGAAAATCGGGGTCATCAGCACGCCCAAGTTGTTGGCTGACTCGGAGATGACCTGCGTGAAACACAAACTCTGCTGTTCCTGCGTCTTTTGTGAGCTGGTCGCAGGCTCTGACCAATTCAGCAAGGCCAGGATTGCCTGACATGGCCAGTGCAAAGACGCGTGGAACCCAATTGTTAGAACAGGACAGGCCACCACACAAATGCAAAAACAAAATACCAAGGGCAAGGTGCAGCGCTGCTCTTGTTCAGGCCCGCGTTCTTCAGAAGCTGTGGCACAACCTGCTGGACTTGGGCCAACAAGCTGCCCTCCTGCTTGTCGTCGAAAAGAAGAACCTCCGCCTTCTGGGCTAGCCAAGAAGACACCCAGGACTGAGCCTCTTCACGGCACTGCTTCCTCCACTCAACCTTGGCGTGGTGGACATGTGTCGCAGCGCTCTCCAACTTGCTCTTGAACACACGGAACGCGTTGATGTCGAACTCCAGCTGCTTCTGGAGCAGCTGCCACTTGTCATTCTCCAAGTGGCTGAGTTGCAACTCAATGGCGCCAGAGTCACTGACAGGGACCCGGCACTGGAGAGCGTCGGAGACGGAGCGAAGGAACTTGACATCCAGCGGGTTCAAGCCTGCTCGCTTCTCTGCATGCGCTTCATGGAGTTCCAACTCTAGGCCCGGGCAAGCGTCCACCCACTTGTTGTAGATCTCCTTGTCCACGTCCTCCATCTTGAAGGGGAACTGCTCCTTGAGGGCGTTGGTCAAGTTGACCAGCAGGCATGCCATCTCTGCAAGCTGGTCGACCTGTGCTCGGTCGGCCTTGCGACGCTTTCCCTTCTGCTTCTCAAAGTCGCAGATGAGCCGGCGCATTGTCAACTTGGAACTCTCCACACTGCCCGCAGTCCACTTCTTCCACTGCTTAGTTCGGAAGGATCTTCTTGGAGGACAAGACGTCGTCCGACAGGCCGCCTCCCACGAACAGCTGCTCACGTGCTGCGCCAGGAGGTCAAGCAAGTCTTGTGGGAACTGGCTCATCGGCCACCGCCTTGGCGCCAACAAGTTGGCTTGAAGGCCCAACACTGGCATTGTATCTCGAGAT